CCATGGGGGGACCCCTGCCAGGCCCCAGCCCCTGTCTGTTCCCCCAGCCCCCCTGAATGCCCACAGACCCCCGCCCACTTTCTCCACCCCGTCAATGGCTGCCCCGCCTGGCCCCAGCGTGCTGGCCTTTTTAAAAGCCCTCATTCGCTGCTGCAGTGGCCATTGAAGCCTCTGGGGGCTCATAGTAGAGCCCCTCCATGCAGCACGGAGCAGTGAGGATTCCACCCCCCCCATGCACCTGGCAACAGCCAGTGAGTGTGGGACTTTTTATTAAAGAGCCGGGATGCTGGGGCCAGGTGGACCAGCCACTGGGGGGGCTGGGAGAGTGGGCAAGGGATGGGAGCTCATGGCAGAGCCCCCCATGCAACACATGGCAGTGGAGGGCAGTAGGGCTCACCCCCTCATCTGGCAGGAGCTGATGAGTGCAGGATTTTGGTTTTTTTTTAAAGTGCCAGGACGCTGGGGCCAGGCAGGGAAGCCACTGATGTGAATGGGAGAGCAGGCAGGGGATGGGACCTGTTTGATTTGGAGATTCAGCCAATTCAGCAGTGGCCAAATCTCTAAGCCAGATTTGGCTGAATCAATTAAGGACAGTGATATGAATCACCTGATTGAATCACTATCCCCCAAACTAACTGACTCTGAATCCATAGTGAATACTAGCTGCTTCACAAAGGCCTACTATTTATTATGTGAATGTTTGTTTGAGGTGTCTCTATGCACTGAGACTTTGTAGTGGTGGAGAAGCTTGTGTTTTCCAATGATCCTCAGACCTGTGTCACCTGGAGTCCTACACTCCTGGCAGGGTTACCCATGGTGAACAAGCCTAAGCAGAGTTTCCAGGCAATTGTGGTCCAACCCAATGTCCTCAATGCCAGATGAGGTGGAAGATGTCAGAATGTCAGCAGCTGTAAAGACAAAAGAAGACTGCAGCAAGATGGAGGTCTCCTGTTGTGTAGGGTTCTCTCATGCCTCAGGCTTAGATCTTCACCTTGTCAAGACTGTGCGGTAGAAGTGTACCAGTACACCAGTCCATATCGTATTGGCACTGATAAAAGGAAAATTGACATTATCAGCAATTGGCTTTTTTTGGCTGATGTGGCTGATAACATTGCCGATAAATGCTGCGTGCATGCCGCAGCCACAATGTAGCAAAACCCCCAGTTTTTTTTTTTTAAATGCATTCCCTCCCCTTCCCCAACCATTTCTGACTTTTTTTT